TGTGTGTGTGTGTGTGTGTGTGTGTGTGTGTGTGTGTGTGTGTGTGTGTAGCAAAATTTTTGTTGTGTGTGCGCTTGAGTGTCCGAGTGTGTACAGTATGTGTGTGACTGGCTGGGGGTACAGGAGCGGCTGGGGTTTGGCGGAGAGTGCCCGCCAATGAAGCCGCCCCAGGTTGGATTTGGCCAAAGCTCAAATAAACACCAACATGAATTCCTCTTTTCTCCCCGTGTTCCCTCGTATAGCAAACACACATTTATGGTGCGGAAGTGAAGGAGAGCCACCATACACAGCCTACAGTGTTCCCGCTGCTCTGCATGTTGGCATGTGTGTGCATTTCTGCATAAGCATGTATTTCGGTATAACTTGAAGTGTGCATGCCAGTTCCTGGTTTTTGTAAGTTCAGCTCAGTTCAGTTCACTGCTTTTAAATTATATGTAACATTTTGTGTTTTTCTGTCGCTTGTTTGGTCATTTTCTCTTGTCTATAATTTCTCTCTTTGCATTTTTGAAGGTTTTGTAAAGCCCCAGATTTGACTTGATCTTATGTTATGCATAGCAAGTTCACCACAGATCAGATCACACAAACTAGATAGCTACTACAGCTAGATAAAGATCTCCTAAATGCAACCAGATCAAAAAATAAACCTATTTCCTCTTTCCCCATAACTCTTCTTCCCACCTTTTTCTCCATTACTCTCGTTTCCACTGTCAGGTAGGCAGTGGGGCCCAGTGGAGTAAACACAGTAGGAAAACACCCTTTCATCAATAAGCTCACATACACATCTTTAATCTTTCTATAGAGTCCACATACACACTAAACAGAGACCCCTCTTTTCCCTCTGACATCCCACTCCACCCGACCCAACCCTGCATTCCTTTACACCCCCCCTTCCTCCTCCTCCACACACACACCTCCATCCGCACACACAACCCGAACAAGCCGCAATTGAGGGTTTAGTCTGGGAGGGGAAGAGGAGTAGGGGCTCGTGTTGTACAGTAACTCACCAGACAGATTTTCTACTGAACTGAACAAGCTGCAAAATCAACTTTGTGTGTGTCTGTGTGTATGTGTCTGATGGTGGTGATGGGCTGAGGATGAAAGATTCAAGATGTTGTTCCTGGACAGCATGCCATCTGTGGGAATTGGCTATTTGGCTTATAAGAGAAGACACAACACACACACACACACACACACACACACACACACACACACACACCACACACACACACACACACACACACACACACACACACACACACACACACACACATTTATGCAAACACACAAACAAACAGTACACACACAAACACACACACACACACACACAGGTTATGTAACCCGGTCTGCTTGGCATGCAGGACAAACACAAACATAAGCAGGTAGCTGGATGAGACTTACCTGCATCCATCAGTATTTGTGAACTATTTCCCAGCGCCATGAAATTCACTCATTTATCATCCTGTGTTTACATTTGATTAGAGTTTCACAGTAACAGAGGACTGTTGAGAAAAAGGCCTCAAATGTGTCTCAACTGACAAAAACGACAGTCGGCTGTAATGCCAATTAAAATATCTATGACATAACATGTTATATGACACATGATACACTATTACCATCTGAGAGGCTCAGTTCCAATAAACTTTTGCTTTTACAAAATTCTTAGTTTGTCTGACCAACAATCTAAAAAATAATATTTTTAAATATTTAACTCACAATAATGTGCTGTGTGAATGATGTGTGGTATGTCTTTGTGTGGTATGTCTTTAGCTGAACAATTGTTCCATTAATCAATTATTCAAAAGGACAGAAAATTAATCGACAACAATTTTGATTAAAAATTATTTATGGCAATTTTTAAGCCAAAACACACAAGATGTACTGGCTCCAGCTACTCAAATGTTGGTTTGCTTAGTTTTCAATTATAGAAAATTGGAAGCCTTTGGTTTTGTCTATGGTTACAGACAACAAGCAATTTGAGGAAATCACCATGGGCTCCTGGAAATTATAATGGCCTTTTTTTATATAAATATTTTCTGACATAAACTAAAGGTTTAATTGCAAAAATAATTGGCATATTAATCAATAAGGAAAAAAGCCTTAATTGCAGCCCCAGATTCATCAGTTATCAAATTGTTGCTGATTTATATAATAATTTTCAGCACTAATGTTATTGAGGTAACATTCACATATCAGTTCTCATAATTCCAAAGGCTTAGATTTTCTGTCTTCCCTTTTGTCCTTGTCCATTCAGCTTCTGGTAGCAAAACAGAAATCTAATATTAAGACAAGGTGTATTTGCTTTCTTACTGAAAAAAGGAAATGTTCCTGTAAATCCTTTTTCACTGCCACCAGCCCAACCACTGTAGGGTACTCAATTTAGAGAATATTCATCACAATAGTACTGCCAGACCCATAGAGTAAATGGAAACAAGTTTAAAACAAACAAATACCTCCATCTCCACCACACTGTATGCCATTGGGCATTTTTATACATGACCACATTCAAATAATGCCACTTTTAGTGAATGTATTTAGTATCAACATGGTTAGGTGAGATATTTGATGGACCCCACTGTTTGTCTTCATTTTTAACCAACATTTGAATAGGCAAACCTATTTATTTTACCCAATAAATTGTTGTGCTTCCCAGCCACTCTCCCTCGTGTTCCTTCTTCTTCCAATCCCAACACAAGTCTATTTGTCTTATCTTTTAAAAACAAACGAAAAATCAACACCCTAATGCTATTTGAACCAGACGACTGGAGGATCTCCAAACCGTGTTTCGGTTTTGTCCCACAACCAACATTATTACTTTCAATCAGTTATATCAATAAACTCCATTACTTGACTGTATCCAAACAGTGCGAGGTTTTCTTTCACTTTTTTTCTCAGTCTGCGTGTGTGCGTGCATACTGTCACAGAGTTTGGAATGACTGCAAGGATTTCATGTTTGACCACATCCATAAATATTGAAACAAGTTCCCTTTCTTCAAATCTCAGAATACTAAGTAAATATTGACACGGCGGGATCGGGGTGCACTGAAGCATCCCATACCTGTACTTAAACACTGTCACATATGAACACATAAGCACACACACATGCTTACAGACAGACACACACACACACTCGTGCGCTCCAGCTGTGCTCTGAGCACTCTCTGTTCACACCAGGGAAGCCCTGGAAAAAGTAATTACAAACTTAAAACTACATGAAACTCTCCTCAGTAACACATGTAAGCTCACTGACACATGAATATGAGGAAATCTGAAAAACGTGCACAACACTGAGAGACAGATACGCAGTGACAAGCTTCAAATATATATAAAGAATAAATATAACTAAAATCCAGAGGAAAAACTTGACTGTACTAAGTTTGAATAGTGCTCTCACTCTTGGGGTTTCATTCCTGAAATGAATGCGTTGTGTGTGTGTTTCTTCATGCAAGCGAGTTTGAGAAATTTCTGCACTGCAAATTAAGTTTTTATGTGTGTATTTGCGTGTGTGTGTGTTTATGCTGCACTCCTCCTGCCAACAGTAACAGCTCAGTAGCCAGTGAGCAGGAAGAGAGAGGTTCATTAAAAACCCAAATACAGCAGTTACATAACCAACAGTTCTGTTCATCCCAGAACCTCCTGTGCTACAACACACTCCTCCTTCATCCCCATCTTCTTCTCCCTCCCACGCCTGCTGGCAGAGCCCACCCATCATCCTTTCCTCCTCCCATAGCAACAGCTCATCTCAGCTCTCCTCCCTTGTTCCCAGACCAACACACTGCCTCACTCCTCCATCTCCCTCCTCCTTTAGCTGCTCCCCTGGTCCCTGCCACCTCCTCCTCGCTCTCATCAAACACTTCCTTCTCTCACTCCCACGTCATCCAAGCTTCACTTCAAACTTTACTTTTTATATACAGCAGGACTATGAACCAGGAATATTAACGAGAGTTAAAACAAGAAACTTTTTGTTTTACTTTGACTACTGAGAGCAAAAATGACACATTGGTCCCAAATGTCTTTTCTAGTCTCAGGAAAATGCCTTGAGCTCTTTCAGAGGCGGAGTTTCATACAGGGATTTGGTTTACGCTATCCCCTGCAACTGACTCGCATACTAAGAATAAACTCTGCAGAAAGTGCAGTAAATGTGTGAGCACAGCAGATGGCAACACAGATTAAGGATTTAGGCTGCGTCACTGATCGTCTGGGATACCTCTACCCCAGAAACAACTGTCATTCTTCTTCTCCATCGGATTAGAGACTGTCACATATCCCCCACCACCACCACCACAGAGGTCCCCCAGAGAAACAATAAGCTGTTTAATACATCATAGTATGCAGTTGTCTCACACAAAAGAACAGCGCCCTCTTGTGGCCTAAAGGCTCATCTGAAATGAGTCATATAAGCAGCAAATCTCATGTCAATCAAAGGTTCCCAACACCTGGACTGTGGACCGTTACTGGGCCCTGGAACACTCGCAATAGGGCCACAAGCAAACCATATGACAAAGCTGAATTTTGATTATATAACTGATACTAGAATTTCCTAGAATTTCCTCTGGGATTAACACAGTATCTATCTA